TTTGGCTATTATAGCCCCGGAAAAGGAAATTAATACGTTCACACAACTGCATCATATGCTGTACCAGCAATCGCCTCGTTAACCTGTCGAAGTTAACTGCAAAATTAATTTTCGCCCGACACTTACCACTTTTGCAAAAAGTGATGTTTGTCGGGCGACGCTTGTTTCGCTTTTTAAATCAGCTGAACGGGGCCAGAGTCGTGTGGCCTGACGGCTGAAATGTTCTCTTCCAAGTCCACACGTCCACCGTTCGAGTCCCGCTGGGCGAGGTCAAAATTGGTTTTGGGGCTGGAGAAGAAAGGCCTTTTGAGGCGCAGAGCGCAGACAATGTAGCTGTGAAATCTCTGCTACATCGTGGCTTCATCCAATCGTGGTGACTCCTATCGACCCTAACCGTCTACAGATTGGCATGACAACAATTAGATTTGGGTTTCGCCTCACATACACTCCCCTCAAAGCCATTGCGGGAGCATTGAACTTGAATCTATCTGTGCCCATTGGCTGGGGCGGCTCAAAGCTCTGTTAAATAGAATGCGATTGCCAGCACGATTCACTTAACTATTCCCAACGATATGCACTCTTTCAGGGCTCGCCTATTGCCGTTCATTGAGTCTCATCCGAGGCCGACTTTCCAGCCTCATCTATCCGACTCCGGTGGTTCACATGGACCTGCCCTGCCCCGCGGACAAGGGAGTAACGCCCGAGTTCTGGCTTCGGTGTAGACGTGACAACGGCCAGGTGAGTGGTCATTTCAAACGCATTCTCTTCCTCCTCTAGGCTTACCATTTAGGACCCTGGTCAGTTATACAGAAAGGGTACTTTTGTTTGAATAGCCGAAATGAGTCTCAACTAATAAGGAGAGAATGCATGGCGATGCCATTAAAAACACACAAATTGTGTGCTTTTTATTCGCTCATAAACAGTTCCTATATTAGTGATCCGATATTGCAGGCCGTTTCATCCCTTATCCCAATTCTAGCTGTAGACAATCGTTTGGTAATCAGACATGCACTGTCGCGGTTCGACTCCTGCTGAGGGTGTTGATAAGACCGATGCGAGGTCTAGACTGCAGTCCACCCTGGATGAGGACAAAAATTTGGGAAAGCAAGGCTATGTGAAATTCAAAGGAACACATCCGCTCAACTCATATT